ATTTCCAGTTCTCTCATAATTGCCAAACTATATAGGTTGAATAAATCTGGTGAGAAGACAAATCCTTGCAGTACACCCCTTTCTATTTTTCTATATAGGCATGCAGGCCGTTTTTCTATTTTTCTATATAGGCATGCAGGCCGTTTGCTGTCAGTATAGGTTCTTCATTGTTCTAATATTTTTCCAAAATATATCAAAGTTGCTGAGAAGTGCCAGCAGATCTTTGTGGTGTACTTTGTCGAATGCTTTCGTGTAGTCTATAAAACATAGTTACACGTTTTTCTACATCTATATTGCTCTTTGTGGTAACATTTTGAGCATGAATATCACGGTCCTTGTTACGGTGTCTTTAACGAACCCGTACTGTTCTTGTCCTATCTCTGGTCTGATTCTGCTGCACGCTCTATTCATTAGAATACAGATGATGAGTTTTCGATATCAAAGGCTGGCAGTGAATATTCGGAAAAAACATGGTCGCCTTTATACACGTCGCATTGAATATTTTGAGCCTTCTGATTGGTTAACCTTTCTGTTGGTGAACTATAAAAGGAGTCATCTCATTTTGGCTGGGTCACTAGAGCTAGTACACCAGGGTACCCAAAAATCCCAACATCTTAGGCATTGCTATGAAGATAAATTTTCTGAAATCTTCCGGTATATCACCAATGTTGTAGATTTCATTTATTATTTCTGTTATCTTGTCTATGCCCAAATCATCTAAGGCTGTCAGCATTTTTGTTACAATTCCGTCTGGCCCTGCCGCCTTATTTCTGTTCAAGTTAGTCAGTGCATTTTCTACTTCGGCTTTTAGAATTTCAAGTCCGTCGGTAGTTCTGTGTATTGCTGGTTGTTCTCTTTCGTCGTGGAAGAGTTCTCCTATATCATCTTGTGCACTTTGACGTGATGTAATGCGTAACAAGCTTGTCTCACTAGATCATTTACGACTGTGAGTCCGATTTTCACCCCTTCTTTAAACTTCCGGCCTTGTATGCTATTCTTAGTAAATCACTCTTTCTCTCTCTACACACGCGCTCATATATATATATATATATATATATATATATATATATATATATATATATATATATATATATATATATAGATATAGATATATATCCGAATACAAGGTTGGTGTAGATGAAATAAACTTCGAGTAACCAAAAACAATATTTTTAAAAAGTACTCAATACAGAGTAGAGTGAATAATATTTATTTAAAAATTATGACATATGTATGATATAACATAACTACAAAAATAGACATTTTGTTTCAACACTTCAGGTGATTTGTCATGTGATGGTGTTGCAAGTAAAATAAAGAGTTCATGAACTCTTGGTTTTTGGTTCATGGTTTTTGAACTCTTTATTTCTCTTGCAACACCATCAGTTGACAAGACACCCGAAGTGTTGAAACAAAATGGCTATTTTTGTAGTGATGTTATAACGTACATATTTTATAATTTTAAATATCTCTCTCTCTCTATATATATATATATATATATATATATATATATATATATATATATATATATAACATGTCAGTAATTTAAAATAATCCATGCACTTGTGAGCTTACCAGATTGTTTTTTTTTTTTTTACGGTTTTGCAAAAGCTACCACCGACAGTTGTTTTTTTTTTTAACTCGAATTTATGACAACTCAGTTTAGGTGATACTGGAACCTTCACAAATGCCTTTCCCTAAAATGTGATTGAAAGAAGTCATTCAATTTTGCTCATTATGGAAAACATCATCATCATGTTCGGCCCATGGTATCCTAAGCATTCTTCTGTAGAACCAGATTTCTATTGCTTCAAGTCTCTTCTTCATCTTTGAGGGAATTGTCCAGCATTCACTGCCACATAAGAAGACTGATATTATGTAACAGTTTAGTACTCTTTGTTTCTAACAACAGTTTTTATTTCTGTTTCTTAATATTTTGCTTAGCTTTTAGAAAGCACCTTTCTCTGTCCAATTCGCCTTCGTATTTCAGTGTCAAACTTTCCGCCCTCTGTTAAAATATTTCACAGATATTTAAGTAGTGGTACTTGTTTGATTTTGCTGTTCCGTTTGCTAACAACCATGCAGTCTGTCTTCTTGCAATTGATGTTTAGTCCTTTCTTCTCGCTTTCTTTTACTGCTTTCTGTAGGTAGTTTCCTTTCTTTGTCTGCTGTCAACACTTTGTCATCTGCTTATCTTATGTCGTTAAGATTGTGGCCGTTAATAATGAATCCTGGTAGGACTTCTAATTCTCTCAAAATCGCCTGCACCGGATTTATTTAATCTGTACAGAAATTCGATTCTAAGAGATCTAGAAGCCCTACTAGGATTTGTCATCTGCAGACCTAGACTTAAAAAAAAAAAAGTGAATGACGCTGTTGATGACAAACTCAGAAGGAAAACTGAAAAAATGTTTTTATACATAGAGTTATAAAAGAAAGGAATCATACTTATTATAAAACCAAGGTTGTGTGTGTGTTTGTGTGTGTGTGTGTGTGTGTGTTCGTTTATGTATTGAATCGGATTTCCTACATTTTCAACCGATTTCAACAAAACTTCACAGGACTACGTAAAATTACCTTGCGGTGGTTCTGACAGCGCCAAAAATTGGAAAAACACAATTGTTTTTGCACGAAATCAATTTGAAAACACGATTAAGAGGCATCGCTGTTGAGAGAATGAAAGGGGGACAACTCATATCGAGTTATACTTATTATAAAACCCAGGTTGTTTGTGTGTGTGTGTGTTCGTTTATATATGGGATCGGATTTCCTATATTTTTCAACCGATTTCAACAAAACTTCACTTTTTTTTTGGCAGGTAGTGTTTCTTATTTTCTTGCACACTTTTTTCTTTACTTTTATATTCAGAATGCTTTAAAATTTCCATTTACAAGACAATTGTTTATAATAAAATTCTATTCAATCGGTAGACTCATAACGATTGAAAACAATGTTTTTGTTTGAGTTTGGGTTTGACCAATTCGTAAAAAATAAAAAAAAACAAAACAAAACAAAACAAAAACAACTAATTAAGACACGCGTGTCCGTCAACCTTAAACAAAAATCTTTGTCAATTTTATTTTTCAGTTTTTATGATGGTCGATACTTGATTTATATCTTATTGTTACATCCCTGGGCAACGCCGGGCTCTACTGCTAGTAGTTATTAACTGTAAGAGGACAAAATAAATGATTGTCCTAAAAAAGACAACCTATGATATGAAATATCTATGTGGGATGATAAATTAAATCAGCTATAGAAATTTAACTATCTGTAACAGATGACAGAAAATGCGACAGAAATCCAAAGGCGCATCTGAATGGTGAAAGATGGCTTCCCGAATCTAAGTAAAATATTAAGAGATGGGAATGTATCCAAAGAAAAAAAGTGCTGGACTGCTATTTATTCTCCTCTATAGTACTGAATGCTGGACAACAATTTCACAGATGAAGAAAAGACTTGAAGCGACAGTGATGAGTTTCTACTGGCGAATGCAATACATGTCAAGGAAAAAATATGTTAGTCACGAGGAGAAGGAGAATAAGAACTACAAGGAAAATTATTCTTACAATCAGAAAGAAACAGTGCTGTGGTCCTACCGCTGAATGCAGAGAATAACATAGACTTAACATGTGAGCAATAAGGAAGTTTTATGGAAAATAAGAACTACAAAGAAACTTATGCTTACAACCAGTACGATACGACTAAAATTCCTGGAGTGCATAAAAGAGAATATTATAGTAATAAGCAGGGCCGTAATTAGGCCTTGGGAGGCCCCTGGGCTAATAGAATTTGAATCCCAATTCATTATGTATGTTCACCAACCGTGTCTATAAAAAAGATATCTTTTTAGATGATGCTTTAAAAAGATCTCAATCTAAATGGGGTTCATTCAAGAGGTACCATCAAATTTAAAAGACCCACTTCATCTAGAGGGGCCAGATAATCTAAATTGTTTCAACTTAGTTCCAAGAAGCCCCATTAAAACTAAAACTAAAAATAAAAAAAATATCTGTTCCTCTATCTTTATTTTTTTATTTCGTTTTATCAGGGGCCCAAGACTAGGAAGGGGGCAAAGTTTGCAGCCTAGACTTGCTTATATGTAAATCAGGCAATCGGTATCATCTGTTCATCATGCATTTCTCAGCGATTTATTAAAATAATAGCAGAATTACTGCGTCTTGCTCACACATTGATTTTAAATCGTTATAATAATTTGTGGAGAAAAATGATGCATTTCAGTATTACTCAATGATCTTGCCGATGTGACCCCTACCTTCTAGCTTTCTCCTTTATTTTAGATAGGAGTCATTCACTTGTTCAAATATATATTTAATTTAAATCAAAGGAAAAAGATTTTCAGTGGGGGTGCGTTGTGCCTCTCGGTCAAAATGAAATATACTTAAAGAAGTACTCTGGTATCCATTGGATGAAGGGCCTGTATAACACTGAAATTCTAGCATTCATATTCACTAGCAAAGCATCCTAAAATACATAAAGATTATGAGGAAGGAAAATTCTGACTTGCTACAGTCTCTCGATCCTAGATCACCACGGTTTAAAATTGGGTACCCTAGGAGCCATTGAATGAAGGGCTTGTATAACACTGAAATTCTAGTATTCAATTTCATGCAAATGTTCTAAATTGTTTCAATTTAGTTCAAAGGAGCTCCATAAAAACTGAAAATAAACAAATCTTCTTAGTTCTTATATCTTGTTTTTTTTTTTGTTTGATTCCTTTTTGTGGATTTTCAACACATTTTCAGGTTATTTAAAACCAGAAAATATTCTAAGGTTTTCTCATTTTTCTGGGGAGAATAACAGAATAGTGATACAAGTCTTCCTAATTATTCCATAGATGGTGGAGAAGAAGTGGGACCATATCTTTCTCAAGTGTAGTTGCGCGTCAGTGAATATAACGGACCCCACTGAAATTAGAACTCAGCCCTCCGATTAACAACTCCAAGCCATTATCCATTACACCACCCGCACATGCAAGCTCACAGCATCTGGTATTCCCAAGCGGTCACCCATCCCGTTACTGACCAGGCTAGATGTTGCTTAACTTCGGTGACCTTACGAGAACCAATTTTTCGGCGTGATATGGCCATAAGCCATTTTTTTAAAGTTTTATCAGGGGCCTAGGAGTAGACGGTCCTTGGGGACCCCCTCTAGTCATGGGACCCTTGATTTCCATTGATCATAAGACATTGAAACCAAGAGAAGCAAAGGGAAATAACAAGTTTTCTAAATGGGTAGCAGAAAGGGACAAAGAAGTATGATAAAAATTTAGAAGTTGTGGAGGGCCATGATCATTAACGTCCAGAAGGGACATGGTACGTAAAAGAAAGCAGAAGTGACGATCACTACTCAGTTGTGATCAAATAGGTTAGCTTCTTAAACAATTATCGGACGCCGATTCGCAAACAGAGAAATGGTGGTTAAACAAAAAGACGTTAATATTACTAACTGTTCATATTAGCGACATCAGATGGAAGACACAACATGAACAATTTACTAACAGTTTCATTACTGCATTTTTTAGACAAGAATTCTTATCTCTTTGGGCACAATAAGAAATTGATACTTATTGGAAATGAAGGACTAGAAAGATGCTGATAGCAATTTATCGAGATTATTGCCATTATGGTTTTGATAGGGTACTCAAAATAGTACAGACTAAATTGAACGACACACCTCCAATACTAATAAAAATAAATCAGTAAACAAGTTCGATTATCCGTTATTACATGTCTACGTTAGATTTAAGCGCAATCAATGAGAACAGGTATTTCACGGTGTCTTCAAAAAGTATACATACGTCAACAGCAGACAATGTAAATTTCGCTAAGACGAATAAGTAAGTGTTAATTTACAATTTATAATAGTAACCAATAAAATGATGGAATTACACAAGCATGACTGATGCTAAACTCCAACTGTGCCTTCTCGGGTTAACGTTCTCCGTTGACACGAAGTGGAACGACTATATTAAATCGGTTACTAGGTTTGCTGCTACGGAAGTTGGTTCACAACATCGTGCTAGGCAATCAGAATCTTATATATTTATAACTCTACCTTCCGGCTATGCTTCGATATTGCTACCACATATGGTCTGATTCTCCTGTTGTATTTTTAGATATTGTTGATAAAGTCCCAACAAGGATCTGCAATGTTATTGGTCCTGACCTGTCATCTCATCATTCCACACTGCCGTAATGTAGCTTCTCTGTGCCTTTTCTGTAAATAATTCCATGGTTATTTTCTGATAAACTTTTCTCTATGATACGTAGACGTTATGAATTTAAGCACAGTACTAGATTGACGGCAAGGTCTCCTAATTTTACAGTTGAAATGGCTAGATGTAACCGTAAGTTCTATGCTGAGAGTTCCTTCTCTCGCACTTCTTGCACTTCCCCCTTGTTTGTATCTTCTCCAAAATCCCATCGTTGTTATCACGCTCGCTCCATGATATCCTTAGCATGCTTCCTTAGAACCATGTCTCCGACGACTCGAGTCTCTTATTCATCTTTGAGGAGACCGTACAAGATTTACTGCCGCAAAGGAGGACAGATATAGGTATCCTTAAAGGTTTTAAAGTACCTATCTGGACTAGGTTTACCAACCGCCTCGAAAAATGCGTCTTTGTCATGCATTTTCATGTTGAAGCACGTATCAAGCATTTACTGAATTAAAAGCACTATCTGCAATGTTATTGGTCCTGACATGGCATCTCGCCTTCATTCAATTCCCCACCGCCGGAATGTAGCTTTCCTGTTCCTTTTCTTAAATATTTCATGGTAATTATTTTAGTGAGCTTTATTCTATGGTGTCGAGATTTTATGAATTTAATCACAGTACTAGATTGGCTGCTAGGTCTCATCCTTTTACCGTTGTAATGGCTAGATGTATCCGTAAGTTCTATGCTAACAGCTTCTTTTCGTGGATTTCTCGCCTGTAGAACTCTCTTCCGGCTTCTTGCTTCCCAGCCAAGTTTAATCTTCAAAAATTGAAATGTCAATCGTTATCTACTGTCTTCTTGATTCCTCTTCATTTATTTTCCTTGTTCCTTAATACTGTTTTTCTTTTTCTTATTCATTCACACTCTGTAAGCATTGGCGGCCACAATCTTAACATAAGATACGCAGATGACACAGTGCTGATAGCAGACACGGAAAAGAAATTACAAAATCTCCTACAGAAGGTAGCGACGGAGAGCGAGAAGAAAGGACTAAGTATAAACTACAAGAAGACAGAATGCATGGTCATCAGTAAAAGGATGAGCCCGAAATGCAATCTGAAGGTCAGGAACTCTAGAATCAAGCAGACGCGGAAGTTTAAATATCTGGGAAGCATCTTGACAGAGGACGGTAAGTGCGACACTGAGATCCGTAGGCCAAGGACACATTCCAAAAGCTGGGCAGAGTACTGCGAGACAGGAGAATATCTTTGGTAACAAAGAAAAGAATACTGAACTATTATGTGATATCTGTCCTTTTTACGGCATCGAATGTTGGACGATTTCCGCAAACATGAAGAAGAGACTTGAGGCGACAGATATGTGGTTCTACAGAAGGATGCTAAGGATATTATGAACCGAACGTGTGAGCAACGATGAGGTCTTAGAGAGGAGGAGGCTTATACTTCATATCAGGGAGAGGCAGCTGAAGTTTCTGGGACACATAATGAGGAAGAAGGGCCTGGACAATCTGATACTCAGGGGTAGAATAGAGGGAAAGAGAGACAAGGGAAAACAGAATGTGGTCTGGTGTAGGTGGCCGAGGGAAGAAACTTATTTAGTGCTACAAGGGATAGGAGGAAGTGGAGAGCCATGACCGCCTACGTCCTGAAGAGACACAGCACATGAAGGTCGAATAGAGGGAAAGAGAGACAAGGGAAAGCAACACATGACATACCTGTCGGGCTTAAGCAAGTGGATGACAGAACGTTTTCTGGAGAGGGAAAGGACATGGCACATAAAAAGAAAAAAAAACCTTGTCTCTTAGTGACTTTGTTATCTTGCTTTGGGGTGAAATGATTAAAAAATATATTTGGAAAGAGAAGTCGCTACTCTATTTGTTTCAGCAGTTTCCATTTGGCTTGGAATATTTAGGCATCATCAATTGTCCAGTTTGAAAGCTCTATATGACACTATTGCAGTTCTTTGCCACAAATCTTGTTTGTCATATTCTGACATTGACCACATTCTAGATCCTACTGCGTAACCTTGTTAGGGATGGATCCCGAGTGTTATATCTTGCCATAAGGCAAGGGCGGGCAAACCTTTCAGTGTAAGGGCCACATTCAAAAATTCAGAATTTTATTGGGTCGCATAGTATATTAACCCAAAATAATTAAAATTTAAAAGAGCTAAAAAAAGGCTTTTAAAGAAAAAATGCAATTAATTTTACTAATTAATATTTTAAAGTACTGTAGAAGATTCACATGAAACGCATTTATTTGAAAGACAAAGTAACTCAGTTTAAATTACTTTAAAGAAAAAAAGATATTAATAAGTATTTTTAGGATTTACACGAAATACATTTGAAAGACAAAATAACCAGGTTTTTTAAGAAAAATATTTTTTATTAATTAATATTATAAATTAGAAAACATTTATTTAAAAAACAAATTAACTCTGCGTAAAGAAATAAAAAAACAGTTCTTACTAATATTTTAAAGTAGCAAATTCAAATAAAACACATCTAAAGTAACTAATTCAAAGAAAAAGTAAAATTAACTTTTTCTTTTTAAGAACTTTTAAAGTTGAAAATTCACATGAAACAAATTTATTTGAAAAAGAAAGTAAAACTCAGCAACCAAAGGATCTCACTGACGCAATGAGAATAATGTATCTGATTGCAGTCATTTACCCGTTTGGTAAAATTAGGCGTCAAGTTGCTTGTAAAAATTATTTGGATTTACTTGGTAACTTTCTATTTCAAATTTACTAACATTTGGTGGGCCGCATGAATTCTTTTATCAGGGCCACATACAGTTTTGAATTTAGAGTTGTCTTTCTCCTAGACTGATTGCCAACTACAGCTAAAAAACAGTTCTGTTATTTAACCCATAGTTGGGAGAAAAATAGATAAAGCCATACATTTTCTAAGTGTATTTGCGTGTCTGTAAATATAACTCAACTGAATTTCGAACACAGCTTTCGGATTTCTTATTCCTCGCCGCTGTCCATTACACCATACGCACATCCACACTAATGGAATTACAAAATGATGCAAATTTATAAAATTCTTAAAATAAAAAGAATGAATTCAAAAATATTATTGTAAAAAATCCGTGGCCTCAATTTACATGGCAACTAAACGCCGTCCATTGTACAATTATATCTAAGTAGTCCTTCTCGTTATCGAGAAAAGTAGTCTCTGTGCTCGCCTCTTGATCTTAGGAAATGTTTACAGAATGTCTTTGAAGCGATAACGTTTATTTGTGGATTAAACCACATAGAGAAATTTTCTTTATTTGTCATTGGTATTAAGATATCTAGGATTTAAAACAGCTTCAATAGGAACATTACGATAGCAGAAAGTGTTTTTTTTTTTTACCTAAATTTGAAATCTTAATAACATTGGAAGAATTAATGAAATAAGTTGGAAGTAAAATAAAAGAAGTGAATTATTTTTCTAAAAGCGACGGCAACAAACGAAAAATGAAACAATAACATTGTTTTTTTAAGAGTAGACGATGAAGGAAATTCAAATAACAGATCTTGACTTAGGAAATGGAATAGTCGATCAGGGTTTAAGTCCTGCTTAGTCTGTTCTGTTCACTGGCGTTAATACCTTCGGAAAATGCATGGATGTATCTCAGCTATGCGTTAAAGGACATTGAAGTTAGAACACACGACAATTGGGTGGTAACCAGTCTAGGAGAAAAACAACTGTAATAAAAGACGGGAAACAAATTCTCCATATTTGCCAAATAGCTATGGCAGTTACCCCATAAAGAAAAGGAAGATGTGGGAAGCCATGATCGCCGTCTTCCTGAAGAGTCATGGTATTAGACTTTTTAAAAAATATATCGTAAAATTGTTTGGCTCATCCGTTTTTGTGCAATATTAGGGAATTTAATGCATTTTGTCTGTATCTGTCTATATTTCTGAGATGAGGTATTATGTACATTATTTACATTATTCGGACTATTGTCCTCATCTTTGTTGCCATTATCTCCTGTTAATTGACCTCTCCAAGTTTTTCTTAAGGACACATGGCACAGTGGATGAAGGCGTTGGTTAGATCCAGTGACAGGACCCAAAGGGTTGTGAGTTCAATACCTGGTTAACGCGGTGGAGAACTTGGAGGGGGGAATTAACAGGAGATAACTGACATCCATTAAACATGGCACGTGGAACTAGAACAGTCTACCTCAGCGAACGAAATAAATGGTTCAGTTCGACATTCCAACCACCTGAAGAAGGCCGGAGCGTACAACGGCCAAAATGTTGTGATAATGTATATAGTGAGTATTTTGTTGTTTTTTTTTGTTATTTTTCCTAAACACTGTTCCGCCATCCATTTACTCAAGCTCGCTTAGTATATTATGCATTTTTTTCTCTGATCTTCTTGCCTACAATCTGTTTTGTGAGTATTAGGTTTTCCAAACCTTCTTTCCTCGTTATGTACCGTGAAAGTTCAACGATCTTTTCCTGTTGTTAAGTGTGCCTGCTTTTTGTTTTCATTTTGTCTAAAACCTCGTGGTTACTCACATGTTCGGTTCATATCATCATCATCATCGTTCTGTAAAGCCACATTTCTGTTGCTTTAAGTCTCCTTTTCATCTGCGGGGACACTGTCCATCATTTACTGCCATATAGGAGGACTGATAGTACTCTTTTTTTAACGAAAGTTTTTTCTGTTTCCTATTATTTTGCTTAGATTTTGGAAGGCATCTTTCACTATTCCAATGTACCTTCGGATTTCAGTGTTGCACTTTCCATCCTCTGTCAAAATATTTCCCAGATATTTAAATTGTTTTACTTGTTTGATTTTGGTATCTCAAATTTGTAATTTTTTTGATGGGCTGTTCCTTTCGTTTACAAACATGCAGTCTGTCTTCTTGTAATTGATGTTTAGTCCTTTCTTCTAGCTTTCTGTACGGGCTTTTGTAGTTTTCTTTCCGTGTCTTCTATCAACACTGTGTCATCTGGTTATCTTGTGTTGTTAAGATTGTGGCTGCCAATAATGAATCCTGGTAGGACTTTAATTCTCTCAGAATCGCCTGCATCGGATTTATTTAAACTGTACTGAAAATCGATTCTAAGAGGACCTACCAGGATCTTTTATCGGCAAAACTAAACTGCATCTGTCAAAATTGCTGGAAACTTTGTTTTAAACGCTGCACGAAATCAAAATTCAACAAAGGTCAATAGCTATTTCCTTTTTTATTTATTTTTATTTTCTGAAGGAGGAATTCAGTGTCACTTTAGTTATTTAACGTGATGTTATTTATCTGCAATTCCTCGTGACACGAAAGCAAAGTTGTTTCTTTTAATGTCGTTTTTCCGAGACAGATAACCAATGTCCCAGCGAATCAGACTTGCGAGGAAAAGACGTAACTGCCATGTGTCATGTCCTCGGGGTTAAAGTCTAACATTTTACTTTGATCGACAACGGAGAAACAAATATACTTTGTCGCTACTCGCAAATCTTTGACACCATAATGTATTAATGGAGGAAGAATTGGAAGCGGACTGACAGTGACAGTTAAAGAATGTGGGTCTACTGCGATGGTTAAATATCTTTTGGTGCAAAGTAAAGGGAAGGGAGTCTTATAATCTGTGAGATGTGTATGCAATGAACTTTGACCAAGTTTATACATAATAGACTCTTCTATCGTCTTCGACGTTCTTAGACCCGAATAGCCAAGCAAACTGCACATATGATTTGATTATAGTGGCCACTTGCAGAATCATCCAGTTTTACGGCCATATCATGTTGAAAACACCGGTTCCCGTACGATCATCAAAGTTAATCAACTTCGAGTCTGGTCAGTAACGGGATGGGTGACCGCTTGTGATTTCCATTTGCTGTAA